CCACTAAGTCTACCTCCTTTCTCACCAGCAGGCAATAATTCTCTATGTACAGTGTCTCTTCCTTTCTCATCAGCAGGCAACAACTCACTCTCTAATAAAGTCTGTCTTTCCCCTTCCGTCTCATTACCTCTAGCAGTCACTGCAGAGACTGCATTTCTTCACAGAGTTTATTATTCCTTCTCCCTTTACTTCTCTTACTTGACTCTGCCCCTTCTTCCTCTGCTCATTGTATTTCATTTCATTGAGAGAGAGGTATTTCATTCTCATCTTCCAAATCACTCAGCTCCTCTCTGTCTTCTGGAGGTTTCGAGCCAGAACCCCAGATTTCATCACTTTGATCCTCTGCTTTACACTCATCTATTGATAATCATCTATTTTCTTATCATTACATGGGCCACCATCCCTCTTAGTTTTTTGTACTAGGGTGGCCGCTGGGCATTTCCATGGCCCTGTCTTCTAAGGGTAGATCTGCTGTTGAGGGGCTATAAGGGCTTCTTTTTCAGGGCTCTACACCATTTGGTCATATGTCTCCCATTGGTCACACTAAGCACATCTTGGCTCATTGAAATTTGGGGGTAATACCCATTTTGTCAGACAATCTACTGCCTGATGCCCTCTGTAATTACAGGTCCAGCAGACTAACCTGCATCTACCAGGTGTGGGCTTATAAAATCCATGCCCGAATGACCTCTCTCTCCTATTGGAGACCCCATCTTCCTTCTCTCAATCTTCCGGTTGGTCCTTCACCTGTCCTATGCCACTACTCCACACAGGGGATTTCCTTTCCCTACACTGCCTGCCTTCCTCCTAACTCTGTGTCTGTGTTCCTAGATTTTTCTTTAGTCACAGACACCAAATATCACTCATGATAAACCTCTGGTGAATCCTTTGATCACGGACACCAATTATGACACTTAGAGTCAGTCCTGGTTTGCACCAACTAATTATGACACTTCTCGCCATTCAGTCCTTGATCAATTCTGCCACTGGTCATTGAAGTGACCATCCCAGTTTACACCCTTCCCACATTGCCAGCTCTGTGATCAAAAAAGCACAAAGACTGAATTGTCGTCAGCAATCATAGTGCTGGTTTGAACTAGGTGAAGCTTTGTCACAAGAAAAACCAAAAAAAAAACCAATGTTCTTTGCAGACGAAATAAAAGAAGACAGTAAATTCTTTGGATCAATTTTCTGTGGGGTTTATACCGTTCTTTGTGCAGAAATATTAATCCTTCACCACTTTGAATTCTATTGTTTTTACATTATGATTTTTGACAGCAATTATCAATCAGCTTTACTCCATTTGCCTTCACATTAAAATTACCAAATTTTATCTCCCTATTTGTTTTCATAAGTGGCACTTTTAGTAGACAGTCATTAATTTTTCCCTTCCTGCTTCATTTCCAAAGTTCTTGACTTTGTTCGAGTGTATTTTCTCTATTTTCCCTCCAACACCAGTGGGTTGACATTTTCCAAATTGCTGTCTTGGCACAATCAATCCAGTCTTAGCTCATCATCTAGGTTTTAAGTTACATTTTAACCTTATCTTTTTTATTCTGTGCCAAGCCCATATTCCAACAGCCTTTTTTTCATTTACCAGTGCCAAACTTTGTTACAGGTACAATTTAAGGTGAAATTAAGGCAATGATCAAAAACAAAAAAAAACCTTATTTGTTGGTGTTATATGACGAGACTATGGATATTTTGAATGAAATTTTAATTGTCACATGGTTTGTTGATGAGAAAGGAAAGCCTCGAAAAAAGACTGTGGGACAAATATGCCAATGTCAGTAAAGATAGAAGACTTGTATCACTGACAGAAGTTTAAATAACTTGTTAACGCAATTTTATCTCTTTCTGATTCACCCTACATGTTGGCTGGAGGTGAGTGCTATTGAAGCAAAATTCAAAATAAAAAAAAACTGGTTTTCTGTGCAGGAGCTCTGAACATCACATCCAGTTCACAAAACGAATCACTTCAATAAAATGCAATAGCCAATTTCCCAATGAAAAAAGGTGACCATGGGGGTCACCAGATTTGCTTAAAAGAAAGCTCCTCAAAAACGACTGACACAGTACCAGGCTGAGAAGCCACCTGTCGACATCAACACTTGCTCTCATTGTCACCACCATGATCGCCTCTCTCATTGCCTCTCTGTCCCTGCCCAAGCTTCACTAATCTCGCCAAACTCTATACACTTACACCCTCTGTACTGGTAAAGTCAGATTCATGACATCACCCAACTTTTCACACTCAAATCTTCTGTGTTGGCAAAGTCAGATTCATAGTTTCACTATACACTCCAGACCTCCCTTGTCACCACCACCTTGACTTACATCAACCTTACCAATGCAACTTACCAGGTTACTTAAGCTTCACTATCCACTCTGGGCCTGCCTCATTGCCACCATCATGACTTATGTTATCCCTGCCAATGCATCTTACCAAGCATTTCAGCTTCCACACCTCAGCCTCATCACACACCTGCCGGCCCATCAACACCTCACCACTGACAATTGACTTTGCTTCACTAATCCACTCCAGGCCTCTCTCCTGACACTAAAGAACCATATATCAACAATTTTGTCACACAACTATGTATATATTCTGAAATTTGATCTACGCTCAGGCAAACAGTCTGATCCTTCTATCTCTTTTTAGCAAAGTTTTAGAGGCTCTAATTAACTCTGAATTGGTTAAGCATCTCACCTTGCAAGGGGTCTTCTTTCAGATAAACAATATGGCTTTTGCTTCTGTAGGTTAACTGTTGATATATTAATGATTATTAATGAAAGAGTCTATCAAGCTTTAGATAAGAATGGTGAAACTCAGGTTGCTCTTTCGGATATCTCAAAGGCATTTGACAGAGTTTAGCATGCTGGTCTTCTTCACAAGTTGAAAGGTTATGGTATTTTTGAACCAATTAAATCTTTCTTATCAAATTTCAAAATGAAAGTTGTCTTGAACAACCACCTTTCTAGATCTCTTTGCATTAATACATGTGTCCCCCCAAGGCTCTATCCTTGAACTTTCATTGTTCCTAATTCTCATCAACAACCTTCTTGATGTCATCAGTTCTCAATTCAGTATCTATGCTGATAACACAACTATTTACTCCTGTCTTAATAGTAAGTCCAATCAGTTAAATGTGGTCAAATTGGCAGCTGATCTAAAAAGTGACCTACAATCTGTTGTTAACTCGGGTAAGGAATGATTTGTTAATTTTAATGCCTCTAAAAGAAATTGTCTGAGTGAAACCTTTTTGCCTTCCATCAGAATGGCTGATGCTAACCTCCAGGAGAGTGACTCATTGCACGTTCTTAGGCTAATGTTTTCAGCTGACATGAAGTTTATAATTAACTTATTCATCCATGCATTGAATATTGCTGCTATACCTAGCCTGGTCTTTCTGCTATATATTTAGAGATTCTTGATAAAATACAAGGAATCATCTGCAATGTTATTAGTCTTGACCTGGCATCTCAGCTTCAGTTACTTTCCCATCAACATAATGTAGCTTCCCTGTACCTTTTCTATAACTACTTTCATAGTAATTGTTTTGATAAACTTTTCTCTTTGGTACCTTGACTTTACAAATTCAAACACAGTACTAGACTGACAGCAAGGTATCATCCTTTTACAGTTGAAATGACTAGATGTAACTATAAGTTCTATGTCAACATTTTCTTGTCACACGTCTCACTTGTGGGACTCTTCTGGCTTCTTGCTTTCCACTCAACTTTGATATTGTATTTCAATTTCTAAAGATCAATTGTTATCTTCTGCATCTTAACTCCTGTTTTTTTTTTATTGTCCTCTCTCCTTAATGATGTTTTATTCTTTTTCTCATATTCTCTCACATTCAGTAACCCCTTGTGTCATTGTGGCTTTCCCTTGCTTGGGGTGAAATGATTTAAAAAAAAAAAAAATACTGCTTCAAGAATTTGTAAATGTCAAATTTTCTTCCAAACAGAATTTCAACTTTGAGGAAAAAGTTGACAACTCGAATAGCACTACTAGATGAAATCATTGGAAGACAGTTTCCAAAGTTACCTTAGACGTTGGAATTATTCATCTAAAAAAGTATCCCTTTTCTCCAACAAAATTACTGTATTTTCTGAGCTGTTTTCAACTATATTAGAAAATCCAGAGGATTGGACTGCTTTAGAATTAGCACAGGCAAAGGAATTCATTGTAATATTGGTTTTTGAAACCTTATTGAGTGGCTCAGAAATTCTTCAAAAAATAATTGGTTATTATCAAGAACAAGTTTGAGGAATTTTACTGTCAAGTTCTGGATGTTATTGCTCAACTACCAGAGAAGCGTGGTCGACAACAAGAACCAGAAACTGTTTCAAGAACCTTGCTTAATCACATTTTGTATAAAGTTATCATTTACACAGAGCAAATATTTAGAACAATAGGAGAGTTCAGATTTGTTGAATTAAAACATTGGATTTGGAAGGCGAGCTGAAATCAATTTATGCTGCAGATTTTGCAAATCAAGCATACAATAATTTGAAGATATAATAATAAATTAAACCAAGCTCTGGCAGCAGTAACCAAATTACGTCTGATTCCGACCATACCTACCACATCTGTTTCCTGTGAGAGATCGTTTTCCTCAATTATATGAGATGTTCTCAAAGGGAAGAGAGATTGAGTAATTTGGTCTTCATTTCCATGAATAAACACCTTTTGAAGATGTAGGTAGAGCCTGGTGCTGATACATTTAATAGCAAAGTGATTGGTGAATTTTCCAAAAAGAAAGGAAGAATTGAACTGATTTATAAATAGATTTTAAATATCTCATTTATAATTTTTATTATTTTCTCGGATTTCTCTCAGAACTAATAATGGACATTATGACAGGCCTATTGTCAGGATATTAAAAATGGGGTGGTAGGGACCTTGTACAGTGGTGAGGGGGTCTCAAACCCAAAGTGCAGCCTGTTGATAGCAGTGCATTTTCTTGCATTAAAATTAGTTTATGTTACTTTCACATATGTGGGGGGGGGTAATTTTTCCAGGGATGGGGGAGTGTAAGACCCCACAGCCCCACTGTCTTGGCATATTGGCCTGCATGACAAAAGGATACAACTGGAGCACCCTGTGAGAAGAAAATTCACAAGGCAAGTTTACTAAACACTGTTTCATGTGAAGGTAAGAATGCTTTTACTTACAAGTTAATAAAATAGAAACAAAAACTTGTTTTTATAAAAGTTTTAATGATTTTTCAATTAAAAAAAAAAAAAAAAAAAAAATTAATGTTTTTTATAAAACACTAGATATGAATACAAAGAAATGATGCCTGGATTTTTCTGGGGGTGAGGGTCTGTGTGATTGAACAAACCAAAATAATTAATTGTGTTGGTTTTAGTCCTGTCAATGTCTTTGGAAATATCAATCAGCCATGGATTTACCTGTTGACCATCACACCACCCATCACGTCCATACAACCAGGTGCCATGCTCATTTGGAACTACCCCTTCTGGAACTTGCTTAGCACAGCCTAAAGGAGTACCTGAATGGAAAAAAAAATTCCATATATAATAAAGCCTCTCAAAAATTAAATGAATTGTGTAATAAAATCATGGATGTGGAAAAGGTCTGTCTAGTTTAAAAAAAAAAAAAAAAAAAATTAGGCAAACATGGACCATCATACCCACAAAAAGACGGAATGTGAAAAAGCATGGTTTTCCTATGGCACCGCTTTTATTATTAAAAGCAATGATTACAATTGTATTAACTCCCAAATATATGATGAAAGTGAATGCATACATTTTTTTTATTTGTTCTTAAGATTTTACAAAAATATTAAACACTTTATTTATTAGATTGATTATTTACAAATATAAATTTATATTTACAACATTCTAAACAAAGAAAAATACAGTGTAATATTTATTATTTACTAATTTATAAAGAAATACATGTGGAAAATAAAAAAAATTATATTCACAAATTTATAAACATTTACTAATTTATTAAAATATGTGAACCATTTCTAAGGGAATCTATATTATTTAACATTTTATTGTATAAATACACAATTCAATAAGAACAAAGAAAATATTTAGGCTTTATTAAAATCGTAATCATTGCATTTTAAAACAAACATTGCCCAAAAGTGCAGGTAGTTAAAAAAGCGGTGTCATATGGTGGAGGATGTGCTATTGACACCATTATCAGTGCATATATATATATATATATATATATATATAGTTAACAAATTTCCCATTTTTTAATTCTATCAGATTCCTCCATTATTTAAACAAATTTAATTTTCTACTCTTTATCTATGCAAGCACCATTTATCATTCCCACAGTAGAAGCCTTCATTAAAATGCATTATTTCTCAGTAAAAAAAAAAAAGAATTTTACCTGCATTGTTGAATTTGATGCTGTGTTCTTTTCCATTAATGATAAAATGATGAGAAGTTACACAGAACTCCCCACAATTATTATCATCACTACCGTGTCCTGTGATGACAGCATAAATAACAACCTGAAAGAAGGGGGAGAGGGGAAAAAAGGTTTAATAAAACAGTTAAATCCAAGCTAAATTTCAAGAAGCTGCAGGTGGGGAGGAAAAAAAAAAAAAAATTACCTTTGTATGCTCCTTTGAGACATTAAAAAAATAAGGCTTGAAGTGACGATTGTAATTATGATCAAATGTAGCCCCTGGTTGGTAAAGTACTTGTGCTTCTGCAGGATAGATATCACCTGTTGGTAGAAGGAAAAAACAAACAGCAAGTCAAGAATCAATAGCCTCTTAATTTTGGTAATCAAATCATCAAATATTTTCACAAATTAAGTTTTCAAAAAATGAACTTTTTTTTTTTTAAGCATTACGCCCCGAGCAAGGTGTGAAGCCACTAGGATGCAGGGGGTTGCAGAAGATTTGGAGTGATAGAAGAAAGGATGAGGAGAGGGATAGTGGATAGATCAAGGTAACTGGAGATGTCAATTGACATTACATTTGAATAGCTGGAGATTATAGCTCTCAGGGAAACAGTAATAGGGAAGGGTGTTCCACAGGCGAGAGGTGCGAGGTATAAAGCTATTGGAGTAGAAGAGACAGCTACATTCAAAAGTTTCTACAGTGAAAGGGTGGGAGCAGGATGCCAGCCTCGTAGGGCACTTGAATTCATGAAGTCTGGGAACCAGTGAAAGCAGCTCATCGGAGCAATTACCATGAAAGTATTTGTAAAAAAGACAGAGAGAGGAAAGGGCGCATCTGTGAGAGAGCAACTGTAGACAAGATGCCAGATCAGGGCCAATTATATTACATATCCGTCTCTGGATCTTGTCAAGAACTCCGAGGTAAACAGAAGGTTCACCAGACCATATATGGCAGCAATACTCCATGCAAGGGCGAATGGTTGATTTGTATATTTGAAGTATCGATTCCGGGGAGAAAACTTTCCTCGCGGTGGACGAAGCAATTGACTCAATGCATTTGTTCCATCTCAGGTCAGCAGTCAACGTGAGACCGAGCAGACGCAGATAGTTGCTCTCAAGAAGTTGACTATCAGACATTCTAATGGGGGGGGCAGGGAAGGATCTCTATGGTGATTAATAGAGAGCAGTTTAGTTTTTGAGGCGTTGACCAGCCAATTCTTGCCCCAATTAACAACCGATTGGAGGTCCATTTCAAGTTTCTTTAATTGAAGCCAGAGCAGCATGCTCCAGCACTCAATTAAGCAGTCCTTGTGCCATACTAGATTCTATCTTGTCACATACTATATTTTGTCTTCTGTGAAGTGAGTTCAATTCTCATTGGGCGCTTTACTTTTATAATCTATTGCCAATTTAACTTTTTCTTTCAAGTTTCCAAGGCAATTAATTTTTATGAGGAGAATACTTGAAAAGGTTGGTCTTAGATTAATATCTTAAGACAAAGAGTATTCTATTAATGCAAATAAATTATGAAATCAGTATATCTCAATAACTGTATTTTCAGTAAGGTCAATGTTCAAGTTCCTATAAAAGCTAGTATTATGAATGTTGTCATTCGCCATATAATGATACGTGTTCAAGGGAGTTAACTCTGATGTTCTTTACAGATGATTCGAATTTGGAATTGTCTCCCCGAAATTTGTAAAACTAATCCGACAGTTGACGTGAAAATTGGAACTGCAAGATAATAGTCAACACGTGAAAATTGGAACTGCAAGATAATAGTCAACACGTACGCGTACTTTATTTAGTTACTAAGCTTAGTCTGGCATGAGGCTAATATCATGGAGTATTTTATGAAGATGAATTTAGAAAACTGATTGTACATTCATATTATAAGGCATCTATTTTAGAATATTTACACTTAATAGTGACAAAATTCTTATAAAAATTTGATTAATACTTACTCGGTTTTTCAGACTTAGAGAATCTCAGATTGACAGATGGTTTCCATGGTGATGCCCATGGGTCGGTGTACATATGGAAGGTGCATTGTCGAGTGGATAGCAGGGGAAGGAGTGGACTCACGTCAGTTAGCCAGCTGCCAATACGCCTAAGCAAAAGACAAAATACAAATCTTGAATTTTTAAATTCATTCCTCATAAAATAGTCACCATTTAATAAGTAACATGACATGTTACTGGTTTACAAGGTACTGGTAACAAGGAAGAATGTAAACTGAATATTGGACATTCTCTCTTTTTCTCTGCCTTTTATGACATAACAGTGACAAAATGACTGGCAACAAAACAAATCAGAAAAATTATATCAATGGTTATTTACTTGCAGATTATTGTCCTCATCTTTATTGTTGCTATCACAACATTTCAGCCATTGTACCCTCTGGTTTTTCATCAGGTTAACCTTTATTTAATCTACAGGGGTAGATTGTTCTTGTTCCGCTGTGTGTGGGGAGATCTCGTCTACTTCTTATTTAGCAGTTATTGCTTGCACCATTTCCACTAACTTTAAGTACACACTGCCAAGCCCATGGATTGAAATCACAATTGTCACCAAATTCACAAATGAATGGTTTCCCCTTGCCAAATTTTTAGTGAAATAAGTAGCCTTGACTAGCAATTCTATTTTCAAACCACCAGGCCACTCCCACTTTCTGGCTGCTAGGCCATTTTGTGCTTTCTTCTTCCATATAACTGATTGGCTGATCAAGACTTAATTTACTTTTCGGTATAGTTAGAGGATAAAGAATCAAATGAGGAATAATGGTCGGTTCATTGATTGCAAAGACCAAAATGGCTAAAGCTACATTGTGACACTATTTAGGGCTGGTAAATGAAAAGAATGTTAATGAATAGAATGATGGATATACCGGTAAACAGACCGTGACAAAGATTGAAGATTTCTTTTTTCCAAAAAGCCTAATTCTCAAGAAACCAAAAGAATTGCTTAAAGCAATATTTTTACAAGAGGGCCATGTGGCAATCTTTTTGACGATTGATGATCTGTCACTAAAAGTGCTGGTCACCAAAACCAGAGTAGAGATAAACAGGTGAGACCAAAATTCAAAGATAAAGTTTTGATTGAATGGTCCTGACAAGCCGAAGACACAGTCAAGTGGCCAGTGTCTAATCCTGAACAAAGACGAAAAAGCCAGTTGATAGGAATTCTGTGTAAGCCACAAGTTTTAAATGATAATTCTTCTGATTAACAATCTTGGGATTAAGCCACACCAAGCAGTCGAAAGCCATTGGTCAAGGAGTAGCCATGGTGGCAGGCGAAGATGAGACACCGAGGGAGGTGAAGGAGCTACCCACACTCATTGGGAAGTATTATTGTGAGATGCTAAGAGAAGGAATAAGTTGTGTGGGACAGATCGATGCCTGTGACCGCTATCCATGGAACAGGTGGATCTCCCAAATTGGAAAGTAATTAATTTTCAAAACCCAGACAGCAGAAAGGGTTTCTTTGTGAAAGGTAAAGAAAATACTGAATTCCCCAACCGCATCATGCCCCCACACTGGTTTTCGGTGAATGTTAATAAATACAAAAGAGTTGAAGCAAGAAAGACAGAATTATTCTGGACATGGACGATCTCATGTGACTGACTGAAGAGAACCTCCGACATCAGCCTTGTGCCAAACTTCACCAAACCAGCCAAAGTATAACGTCTAACTAAGAATGGGTTGCATTGATAACTCTCCGCATGTGAATGGCTAGATTTTAGCAACAAAGTCAACCAAATATTGTATGAAGTAACATATATAAAAGCATTTATTTCTTTTATTCATGTATTTACTTTTTCTTGTGTCTTGTCCACTTGGACCAGCCCAATACACGATGATGATTCGATCATTGCCAGCCTTATGAACAAAACTAATCACAGTGTGGGATAAGGCAAGGCCTGGATCGAAGCTGTCATTTCATTGATCAGCTGTGGGTGTTGGCCATTTGGACGACTGGGAAGGACTTGAAGGCAACAATTGGTTGCCGTGGACTAGAACAGAATCAGAAGACGACAATGTGACAGATTCAAGTAAGCTTAAGAAGTCTTTATAATTAAATGTAACTCTTTCTACTTCAGTTGAAAAGGTAAGTATTTTGATGCCCTTTTTTTAAAAAATTGCACCTAAATTATTTTATCAAAATTGGGCTACTTTAAATTTTCAGACATTTTCTAACAATTTTAGATCTTTACATAACTTCCCATGAAACATTCAGTGTTAAAGAATTCAAGTTCTAAAATGTATGATCAAAGACTTTTGAGATAACACCCAAAGTAAGATGCCCAAAATAATTATTAGGATTCCATTTTTTGTTTAAGAAAAGGATGTTAGTCACAAGAAGTTAATTATTTTTTTTTACCTTCGGAATGGCGAGATCCATCTGCCAAGTTCCATGCCACACAATGGAGACTTTGGATCACAGCAGACATGGAGTCCAATTGTACGGTCCCAATGAGGACATGTAGTGTCTTTTGTTCCTGGACAAGACAGGTCAGCATGCAGCTCAAACTTGGAGAAATTGCGTAATTCTAGAAATAAGAAAATGAATTCAGCTTTCAAGTTGGGCAAACATCAAATTAGGCTTTAAAAAATTTCAAAATTTAAATGAATTCTGATCTCTTTTGTGAACTATTTTCAACATCATATTTGGCCAAAATTGCAGGTCATTTCAGTGTTTTTTTAACTTCCTATAGGAGCAGAAGTCCTACCAGGGTGCTCCTGTTAACACTACAAAACTGGACACATTGCTACACTTGGATGTTGCTAACTGGCAATGTAGCATGGTCCACTGAGTTGCTGGTAGGGTTTGGGTATGGTGCCAACTCCAAGAGGCCAGTTAGTGGTGGTTTCTTTATGGGTTGGGTCTGCCTAAACATCACTGACTACTATATCAAACTGCTTTAGGATCATTATAGCATCCCACACACCCAAACAACGATGTGTTATTCCAGCAGAATAATCAGATTACCCAAGTTTGCGGAATATTCTGGAAACATTCAACATTGACCCAATCGATCACGATGAAGAGGTCTATGCACACTAGAGAAATATGGGTACAGCTATTGAGACAGGATGACTTTAAAAGTCTTTTGTCCACTTACAGAATCAATGACATGTTAAGCTGCCATAATTCAACACAAGGGACTTAACCCATGACTTTTAGTATGCCAGCATATATATTAAAATATTTTCTCATATTTTTCTTTATGGCAATAAGTCATATACTTATAAGTTTTTTTAATCATTTCACCCCAAGCGAGGCAGAGGAATATCACTAGTAGCAGGGGGTTACAGAGAGTGAGGTAAAAGACTAGGTATAGGGGGATTGAGAAAAGGATAACATATATGATGAATGGGATTCAAGAAGATAGAAGATGGCAATTGACATTGCATTTAAATATTTGAAGATTGTAGTTATCAGGCAGGCAAGCAAACAAGTAAGTGGGAGGGAGTTCCACAGGCAGGAAGTGTGAGAAAAGAAACTGTCAAAGTAGAAGTGGCAGTTAAATTTAACTATTTCAAAAGAAAATAGGGGACCTAGATGCCAATCTAGTAGCACACTTAAATTCATATAGTCAGGACACTAGGGAATAAATCTTGTCAGAGCAATTGCCATGAAAGTATTTGTAGAAAAGACAGAAGCCACGCCATCTCAGCAACAAAGTGACTGAAGTCGAGATGCCAAGTCAGGATTGATTACATTGCAAATCCTTCGTTGGATTTTGTCAAGAACCTCAAGAGGAATAGCAGGGGCACCAGACCAGATATGGCAACAGTATTCAATCCACGGACAGATGGTAGATTTGTAAATATGTAAGATGGACTCTGGTGAGAAAATTTTTCTGACACGACACAATGACCTAACTGTCCTTGCAGTAGATGCAGCTATTGATTCAATGTAGTTGTTCTAGGTCAAGTCAATGGAAAAATTGAGACCAAGAGGGTGCAGTGTGTTGCTCTCCATGAGCCTAGCATCAGCCATGCTGATGGCAGTCAGGGAAGTTTCTCTCTGGTGGTTAAATGAGAGCAGTTTTGTTTTTGAGGCATTAAAATTCGCAAGCCATTTCCTGCCCCAGTTAATCACTGATTGGAGGTCCTTTTCAAGAGCAGCAACCAGGTTTACTTTGTCAGCTCTGATGGATTTTCTATAGAGCCAGGAGTAAATGGTAGGGTTATCTGAATAAATACTGACAGACCTGGGAATTGATGACATCAAGATCATTGATGAAGATAACAGCATAGTGAGCCTGTTCAAAACAGACCTTCATTTTATGATTAGATAGGAACAATTGGATTAAATCAAACAAATGTCCAGTAATACTGTAGCCCTGGAGCTTATGTAGAAAACCAATGTGCCAAACCCTGTCAAAACACCTTTGAGATATCTAGAGCCATGATACAGCTGCATAAGATGGAACCAAATGTTCATAGAGGCTTGATTCAGAAGAGATATTTCTGAAGAAATTAACTGCTTTTGAATAATATCCTGATGTTGGACACATTGCAGTTCCTCTAAATCTTTTCAAATGTAATTCTTATATCTGTTAGACAGACTAGCAGATATTTGTTTGTTGTCTTCAATTCTCCTGTCTCTGCTCATAGAAACTAATGTTATGAGGGTTTCGATAAACAGTGTTTCAGTGTCTAGGTCAACTCGTTTATAATTGATTTTTTGACGTTGTATGGATGGAGGAAATTACAGTTCAGATATTATTCAGTGAATCTGAGCTACTCTGTACAAGTTAATAGTAAATTTAGACAAGGTCAGATGTGATCCTTCCTCTGCTTTTCCATTAAAATGAGTTTGTTATAGACTGGATTAACTAATATTAGATATCCCCTAAGAATAGAAAGCAAAATGAGATCCATAAAGATCAAAGAAAAGGTTCAGTTTTTAAATTGCAAGAAGATACCAGGCAAAGACCAGAGGATACAACAGTTGAAATGTTGAGTCTAACAAAGATATATTTGTTAAGGAAAATAAATGTTTTTTTCTCTCATCATTAGACTATGGACTTTGATTTATCTAAGAACAAAAAAGTGAAAAACCTTTGAAAGTAATGGAACAAAACAAAAGCTAAAGTCTTAAAATAATCTAAGATAAAATATTTGTTATGCCCAGAGCCTGTCAAAAAAACTATTTTAAAAATGTAATAATTGATCTGTTTATATAGATAAATGCCATTGCTTATTAATTATCACACATGAAAACCTGAAGATGAATATGACATGTATATGTGTGTGGGTGTGTGTATATATATATATGAAAGCCTTACCTTCAAGTGGTGGTAAAGTTACATTGACTAAAACCCCTGGTTTTCCTTGCATGATGGCATTTTCAAAAAGAGAAACAACTTTGGACTTCTGCTGAAGTTTCCGCTCAAGCCTTTCTTTAAATGCCATCCTGGGAAATAAAAAAAAAATGGATATCTGTGGCCTAATATCAAAATTACATTAAGTAAGAATTATTGTTGCTTTTTATCTTAACACACTGAGTTTAAACACTCTTCATTATTATTTTATTATTAGTTTTACTTCATAACTCTCATTCTTACTTTTTATTGTAATCCTTTGAGTCAATATATTCTTTGACTGAAAACAAACAGCAAAATCAAAAATAAATAATTTTCTAATGAAATTTGGACCTCAAGAAAAATGGTTGGCATGATGACTAATGATTTGTGCTCAGTTTAATTATAAAAACTTTGTAGATTAAGGGCTTTAGGCATCAACAATGGACCATAAGCTGCAAGTTCAAGTCTTGTTAGAATCTATTTTTCTTTCCAGTTTCACACAGCAGTAAAAAAAAAAAAAAAAAAAAGTGCTGGAGCAAGATCCCAACTTGTATAAAACAGTTGACTGAATGGAATTGATAAACACACAAACAGTGGCAAAGAATAAATTCAAAGAAAACCTCAGAATAACAACTAATAAATAACCTCACCTGTTATTGTTCTAGATCCACCTTCACTAAGTAATAATAATCAACCTAATTACAGTTATTGGTAGATAAATTCATGACAATAGTTCATTTATGGGGATCTAATTGTTCAGTGAGGCCAGAGTTGTACTTGTCAAAATGTTGTGACAATCTCCTCACAATATTTCTCATTGACTAAATCAAATAAGTCTAATTGATTAAAATAGTGATGCAATCTTGTATCGCTATTTTAATCAATTAGACTTATTTGATTTAGTCAACTATTTTATTCAAGTCATTGTCTACCTCCAGGACCATGTGCCTGATAAATGGAAGAAAGCCAAAACCTGTATCAACAAAGTGTCAGACTTAAAAGCAACAATAATGGAGTAAAACACATAATGAAATAATAACAAGTGATAATGTTTAATCTAGACATTTTGATTTAAAAACTATTTAGTCCCAGAAAAGCACACCATATTTAAGATATCATCAGAGTGTCAATGAGAAAACTAATTGATTAAAATAGCAAATCAATCTTGCATTGCTATTTTAATCAACTAAACTTATTCGATTTAGTCAACAAGAAATATTGTGAGACTTTCATAATATTTTGACAAGTACAACTCTGGCTTCATTAAACAATTAGATCCCCATAACTGAACTATTGTTACAAATTTATCTACCGATAATTGTAATTAGATTGACTATAATTTGTTAATGAAGGTGGATCTAAAACAATGATACCCAACATGGGGCGTGATAATATTTTGGAGAGTCATGTATAGGATGTGCACCCTTCGGCTTTCTTTACCAACATGAGCTCAAATTTCATTTTGCATTATTATTTTATAATTAAAATGACGAAAGTATATTAATATAAGCTTTCATTCAAATATTTTATAATTCTTCCTTTCAGTTCTCAATTATATGTTTTGAAACTATGTATATGTAAATGTCTGTTTTTTTAATTTTTCTTTTTCATGGACGCCATGGTCTTTAGAGGTTTGTTTAGAGACCAAGTTAATTGCCTTTTAAGATTCCTTCATGTGAATTGCAGTAAAATTTTGAATATGTAACAATTAAATATTAGGGGGGGCACCGGAATTTTAGAAATACCAAAGTGGGACATGACCCAAAATTGGTTGGGAATCACTGATCGAGAACATTAAAAGGTGAGGTTATTTAAGTTATTATTCTGAGGTTTTCTTTGAATTTATTCTTTGCTACTGTAATTATCACCACTGCTTACTCATGATTGATAAACACACAAACAGACATTTTAAACAATACCATTTGATGAGACAGGACAGAACATAGCCAGAAATTTCTACAAAACAATACAGATTCAGAAAAATACACATGAATGAAAAGCAATACTGAAAAATACACATGAATGAAAAACAAAACTGAAAAATAAACTTTGGGGAGAAATTTTACGCTCTGAAACAATTTTAATAGAATTCAATTTTATAAAGTCTGAAAAGCAGTGAAAAAACTTTTGATTTCAAACAACTCTTATTGAAAAGTCAAGAAATTTATCAAGTGGATTGGGGGATCATTTCATTTCTTTTTATTGTTAGATTGAAATATTAATTTAATATAAAACAATAAAAATTAAACAGGACAAATATACTGTGACATTAAACTTTTGACTTTTCATATTTTTATGACGAAAGCAATGAGGCTGAAAAACCTGACTGTTTATGCTAACAGATTCTTTTGTATAGCTGGTCACACCTATCCAAATAGTCTTTTAGGGTAACTAGCTAATCCTTGTTTTAGACGCTTACTCAGGCACATAATCTGGTATGATTAACAGTTTGAACAAGGCCAGTACTCTCAACCTCTCGGTCACAATGACTTGTGAATTCATGATAGGACAACCATCAATGGCTTCCAAATAGTTTTGTCTACCAAATTTCATTCACAAGGATGGTATTCCTGATATGGAGCACTATTAGTTCATGGTATAGTTTTCAGGTACTTCCCAATGGTTCCACCTACTGGGATTGTCTCCCCAGGTCGGTATTATCAAGAAGTTACCACTGACAAATTAACCATGGGGAGATTTGAATCTGAGCCTCATGGTGAGAATGATAATGTATTAATTATTTGGCCACTAGTCCACCAAATTCTTTTAAGGAATTTGAATAATTTATTTATAAGAAGCAACTGAACAGCAATAGCCATTTTGGTGAAGTTTTACACAAAGAAACCCAAACTTCCTGACAAGTTGCATGGAAAATATCCTTTGTAGAATTGATGGATGAAACAAAATAAAATTTGTTTGTTCAGGAACAAGATTTTTCATTATTCCTTTCTACATGTTCTAAATTGTAAACAATTCCTTTGAAACTAAAAGGAGATGCTAAAATGGTAAATGAGGTAGTGATATAGAATCTTTTACTTACCACTGAGCCTGCCAGACAATAAAACTTGCTGAAGGATAGAGAAGCCATCCAACTTCATTTAATCTTCCAAGTGAATCAATGGCCATATAAAAATTGTCAGATGAACTGGTCTGGAATTGAACACTCCAACTTCTGCACAGTAAAATATAGACAGACTTATTTCAATATTTTTATAATCTGCAGTAATGAAATACATATATAAAATGACAGACAAGGTGCTTTTAGTTTTTATACAATTTCTCATGCGATCTAATAATTATTAGATTATTCCTTTCTACATGTTCTAATCATCCTCTCGCATGCTTTTCTTTAAAGAATTAAAAAATGTAAAGCAAACGCTGATTAATAACGGATTTCCTAATTAATTCTTGGATTTCCACATTAGGTGTTTCTTGTCTAAGGTAGCTAATAGCAATGGCGAGAATAGAAACAAACAATAATATTAATATTTTTTATAAAAATCAGATGAATGAAACTTATAAACAGGATGAATGCAGAATTAAGAACATTATAAAAAATTTCATATTAGATTAATTATTTATTATAAAAAATTTAAAACCTCTAACCTTATAGTTAAAAATAATAATTCACCTCCTAGAACAAAATTAAATAGGGCAAATATTATTTACGAATTTAAATGCCCATTAAGGAATTGTATTCCTGATCAATCAAAATTCATAAATAATTATATAGGCCACACTACAACATGTTTGACACGCAGACTCACTCTACATCTTTCTTACAATAGCTCAATTAGATCTCATTTAAATATTCATGGAGACCTACCGGACACTATTCAACAACACTAATATAAAGGCTAAAAATAATGGAAGCCTTATTAATAAAAAAAACAAACAAACCAACACTTAATAATATTAACTTTGAACATGGACATAATATCTTGACCGTGTTTTGAAACAAAAAAAAAATTGAAAACATCTCATAAAACATAGATACAACAAACTATTTCTTATTTTAACAGTTAAAATATAAACCTTGAAAATGGCTAAATATATAGCCGAAAGCGCTCAGATAAAAAGAACATTCAAACAGTTTTTATATAATTTATCATCTGAAAAGAAAAAATTTATTAGATCACATGAGAAATTGTATAAAAAACTAAATAAAAGCACCTTGTCTGTCATTTTCAATGAAATGTGCATGAAAGAAGGATTGCTGCCTAAATACACAAATATATATATATATATATGATTCAAAACAAGCTTCAAAATCAACTAAACTAGGTGAGGGCTTGATTGATTGATTGATTTTTTTTTTTTTTTATGGCTTATCAACCCTTTGCAAGTTATCCAAAACATTTTGGACTGTAAGAATGATTTTCTTTTTTATGAGTGAATAATGCATTAACAATTTCTTTTGTCTTTTTTTTCTAGTTTAAAAATAATACATGTGCTGCTGGGGGGAACTTGGTGAGGGAAAGAGCATTATCTTGCCTGCCTCCTAAAGAATTCAGGTATGGGGGTACACTCATTAAGTTCTGGGCATGAAAGGATTTTTACATTATGTCCTTTAAAATAAAATATCTGAAAGATTTAACTGGCAATCCAACAATCCAAAATTTATCAGTTAAACAAAAATTGATTTTTAAGAAATCTTTGTTTATGGTGTAATAATAAATGAATTTACCTAAAAAGGAATGGTGAGAATGGAACCATACTGGCCGGTATGTCTATTGGATTCAGGCAGTCTTCATCTTCACAGTTCATATCTTTTAATTGATGTCCAGGGCTGACATAAATGAGAACACCAAGTGCAGATGATTTTGCCATCATTAAAATCTACAAAAACAGCAAGATTAGGAGAGAAATATTAGACATGTGTCAATTATTCATGTTGCAGTAATATTATCATCATTACTTATTTTTAGATGTTTGTTTTTATAGTAAACAGTACCAGTATATAACTTACATGGTCATAATTTCTAAAAACAACTGTTTTTGTTTTTTTTTTTTTTAGCTATGGGTGGGGGGTAAAATATTTTCTTTTTATTGAAATAAATGGAATGATTGATAAAAAAGATTCTCTGTCATTATTAAAAATTCCCAAAGTAAATAATGAGACATTCAAAATTTTAATCTACAAAACTGGATCAATAAATCCATAGCCTAACACATAGAAGAATTTTTATCTGAAATCTTCACTGTATAATGATCTATTAATATTCAATAGAAAATTAGGATTATTAACAAGGAAAGTTATATTGAAAAAATATTTGTTATCTAATATAAATGATTTTCTACACTATGCTAAAGACTTGATGTATTTTAAATCTGAAAGGAAAGCATAGTAACAAATATAAAAGTCACTATTTGAGAAAAAATAATGATTCTATGTCATAGTATATTTAAATCTTCAATCAAAGATGAAAATGGGAGATTGATCTTCTTTAGCTTTCAAGTTATATATATATATATATATAAGCAAATATATGGATATAAATCCGACAGTATGAAGAAAAATATATACGGGAAAAAACAAACAAAAATCCTTATATACAATTATAAGTGCTGATCTTATAAAACTTTATCTGTTTGGATAAGTCTTGTTCTTATGTACATTGTCTTTGTCATGTTGTATTGATAATGTTATAATTTATGAATATGTCCTGAAGATGGTTTATTAGACTGAAACGTCCGACGTTGACATATTAACATTAAAACAGCATAATTGTATATAAGGATTTTGTTTGTTTTTTTCCGTATATATTTTTTCTTCATATATATATATATATATATATATATATATATATATATATATATATAAAATACAGTTCAAAAGTTTGAAGTCACCCCCAGAATTAACATGAGACAAACTTGACAGAAGAGTGGAGAAAAAAAAAATGAAGAAGAGCTCTTAGTGATTAAAAAAAAGAATGGAATCAATTATCAAACTTATACTTTGAGAAACTTTTGCAATGAATGCCAAACATTTGTGCTGCAGTAATCAAGGCAAAAGGTGGATATTTTGATGAGAGCAAAATTTAATCATAAATTTTTTTTCTTTTTGTCATAATAAAATTTCTAATAAAATCATGTCTCACTTTTATTTTAACCAAGTATAATAATTTTCTCTTATTTACAATACAAAACAACTACCTTTTGGACCAATTTAAAAAATTACCAGAGATGGCCTCAAACATTTGAACTGTGGAGTGTGTGTGTGTGTATATATATATATATATATATATATATGTATATATATATATAATCTCAAGTAATTTTCACACCATGATGTGATAATCAGGCAACTGAATCAAGAAGTCAGGTTCATTGTCCATCTATAAACCGTCACACACACATTATTCACCAAGCAGGAGAACTAGCACAACAGAAATTTATTGTATCAAGTTTTTACTACTGAGAACTCTTCTTTGTAAAGACTCAATCAGTCAGCTATGTGCCATGCATGATACATGCTTAGGCGATCATGTATTTTTCAATACATCACTGACAAGGCAGTAGGTTGCCATTTCTTTTTGCGGTAAACCAGCTGCCATCCAAAGCTATAGAACCTGATCTGACCTGCTATTTACCCATAGCTGCAGGGAGAAGAGGATTCATACCTTTCCCAAGGGTATTAGCAGGTAAGTGAATGTAATGGATTCAAGTGGAATGTGAACTCGGCTTCCCAATTCCTCAATCCGAGCCGCTATCCATTATGCAATGTGCCTCCTCGTAAAGACTACTTGTCAATAATATTTAGTGTGTGTGTGTGTGTGTGTGTGTGTGTATTTGTCAGTGTATTTTGGCAGCAACTGTTCTTGTGAATATGTTTTATTAAAAAGAACAAACATTTTATACCTATTAAATTTATTGATCATTTGTCTAGTATGCAAATTATATTCACATTTCCATACTAGATAAAAATGATCACTAAATTTAACAAACATAAAATGTCTATTCATTTTAAATTAGAAACATTTTAATTATATATACATATATAAATAAAAAATTGGATACTGATGTCATTACAGTGGCAACAGTCAGTTTTGCGCTTGAACACAATCTTCAGGCTATGGTCTGAAAATTGCATTCAAGCAATAATCAAAGTGTCGCTACTTGGTGTTAACCTCAGTATCTACGTTTTTATATTTACATACACTCTATCCCTGACATTGATCACTTTTGCCTATAAATATAGCATACCATAAAACTTTTTTTATATATATATATATATATACATACACACACTCAACACTCCTGTCGAATTCAATGCCTGAGAGTCAAGCAGATTAGTTCCTAGGAACCAACAACCCAACACCAGCGCATGAGATTTGATTATGGTGGTGAAGGTTTTGTGAAGAACCGTCCACACTTTTTGAAGGGCTGAATACAGAGACCTGGTGCACTACATGCCACAAGGTCCCCAAACAAGCCTCTGCAGGTTTTGAGTTCAGAGTTGTCCTTCCCCTAGACCAGTTGCCATCCAAGGTTATAGAACCCACTGTCCTGTTATTTACCCATAGCTGGAGGGAGAAGATGAGGATTCAAGGGTATTAGCACACACACACACACATATATATATATATATATATATATATATACATAGATAGATAGATGGATTTGAGTAGCAATTTTTCATTTGTACAAATCTAGATAAATTAATTTTAATTATTTATTTTTTTATTTATTTTTCCATTTTTATTTTTTGAATTCAGTTCATATTTTTCTAGCACCAGTCATTATCAACAATTTTGATAATGGCTGACAGTAACCAAAAGTACTGACAGGAAAATATATTTCCAAATACAAATCTGAAATAAAAAAAAGAATAATCAGGAACATTGAAAATAAAATAAGCGACTTTTCATTCATTCATTCATATATAAATGGATTATCCCGCCGGTTTTGACGTATGAGGATCTGACAGCTTAGTTAATTTTAGTTATGAAATTTTGTGCGATAATCTTAAGTGGCATTTAAGACCTACTAGTGATTTACAAAGGAGGCCACATATGGAGCAAAAGTGAAGATTGTGAGATGAGATCACTGTTAGATTGGCTGACCTTTTAGTTTTTGCTCTTGCTTCTTGAAGATGATTCAAACACACACACACAAGTTGCTACACAGAATTTTAGGGAATTTAACCAGTGCACATGCACTAAATGTAGTACAGACTTTTGCCACTACCTTTTGTGAGATTCATGCAGAGTTGCTCAAGAAAACCACTTTGAAGGAGATGCTAGAAACTAGAGATTAAAGTAAGAAACTTTTTTATGCTCAGTCAGACCCATTTGCCAAAATCTGACAAATACCAGAATTTTTTTTTCTTTTGCAAAAGGCTTCTTAGTGAGGCTGAGAACTTTTCAGTATTCCCCTCATAAGTACACGTTTATAACATGCAGCTCAACTACAAAGATTTTAATGGTGCTAATTACAAAAAAAAAATATTTAAACTGATAAAGGGGCAACTATCTGCAATAAAAATCAATAGGAATTACCTTTGTGTAAAAATTGCATCCCACATCTGAAACAAGAGCAATGGCGCCTGCCACTGATGAGTTTTCCTGGCATCCATCCTCAGCAAAAACCAAGGGCAAAGTTTTGTTACCAAATTTCACAGGGGAGGGAAGCCAGTCATAACGAGCATCGATACGTTTCAATACAAAAGGGTATTCTAAACCTGAAATGAACAACATTAAAAGTCCCCAGTTTAATGAAAAAAATAACCATTCCTAAAGAAGAAATCAAATTCTTCAATTGTTTCTGACACATTGATCCCTGCTTATCAGATAAATATATGGCATATTTATTAAGTCATCAAAGTGATTTCCTTGATTTTCTCTAATCTTACAAAACATTTCATTCGATTTGTTTATTTGATCATAAAAGGATAATTTAAATTTTAACTTGAGAAATTTTTCATTATAAAGAAATATTGCATGTCACAAAAAATGCAACAGTCTGAAGGTGAAGAGTCTGGAGAATATGCTGAAGGGAAGAGAATTTTCTGGATCCATGATGGCTAATGCCATCCAATATAATCACTGGGATGCTGCCTTGCCTGGAAAAATGGCTTTTCTCTTCCCAATCAACATTCTAATGAATCTACTGATTCATTTATTTTTTGTAATTTCACATATTGGTCATTCTGCATCTTCCTTTAAAATTTACATCAAACTATCAATTTCCAAGAGCATGCTTTGTCAAAAATAAAATTTGCTCTTTTGACCTTCACAAACTATTGTCAAAACATGCTTGCGTCTACTGCACTATTGCTATATGCTTCACTAATCTGTTGTCTTATTTCTATCATCTTATTTCAAATGTTTCTGTCCCAGATTAAACAATGATGAACGTATTTTATATTCAGTCAGGATTTTTACTAAAATAAAAATCACATTTCAACAGTTTTTCAAGTATCTGCATGTACAAACAATATAAAGAGATTTCGCATACCAACATTTCAGGTCAATATGCAGCATGAAATTGAAAGAGAGAATTGTCTTCTGACAAAACTTGATCCTTAATATTGGTCTGTCATGGACAATGCTATAAAAATTTCTGCCATGGAAGTTTTAAATCTAGTCATATTGAAAGTGCTTTCTTCAAATTCTAACAAATTAAAGCTATTAAGAAAATGTTATTAGTTAATAATACAAAATAATAATTAAAAAGTGTAAATGAACAAATAAATATTACAATCGTCAAGGTTTGGCTTACAGGTTTTAAAGAAAGTCAGACAGTTTATGAAAAAATTGATATATTTGTAAAAATTTCTATTTTTAGAACTGGCTGTTAAAAAACTGCCAAAAATATTTTGGTCAAGGTAAATTGTTTCAAATTCATTTTTTTTTTTATTCAAAAAGTATGTATGATTTCTATATATTATCCAATCAAAAGTGGGTTTATTTACACATAAATTTGAAGTAACAGTCCATTTTCAGCCCCTTCATTTCTTATATAAAGAGAAGAGCCAGCAGATAAGCTTCATAAGGTAGTCAAAATTCAACAAGGTAATCAGATTTTCAAAGAAGAACTGAATGTTTCAACCAAGCTAGAAGATGAAGTGACACAAAAATTTAATCCTGAAGAAGACTATGGACCAGAAAGGAAGCAATTTTTGGCTACCACCTGAAAAGCATACATAAAAAGAAACAAACCCGTTAATAGAAATGTGTTCTATAAGAATAGCAGGCTTCACCTGCTCGTTATCGCTTCGCAAAGTAAGATATATTCAATAATTGAAATATTTATAATAAAACGTGTACTGCAATTTTGGATACAAAAGGAAAATAAGAGTTACTCCTCTTGAAACATGAAAGCAACAATAATGGCTAGTATAATAAATTAATATATATTTTTAACCTCGCATAATCTGGCAACCCCGAATCTGAGCTCAACAAAAATCATTCCCTACACTTAACTTTTCTAGGGCTTTTGAATGAGCTATGAATCATTGAAATCAGACAAGTGGGAGTGGAGGAGTTGCTTGGACAAACACACACACTGTACTTTATATATAAGATAAATTATAAAAAGTCACCATGACATCCAAGGTTTGAAATTGCCAAAGCTTGCTTCATTCCATGATTTTTTTCATTTTACAATTAGATAGGTGCATCTTTCTTTTTAAAAAGAGCTCCTTTATTCATTTTATTGAAAACTACTCCCTGCTTGCAAAACTAAAGCTCTTTTCTACAACTATAAAGGAGAGATCTATACCAAAAATAATAGTCAGTATGAGCAACCCTCTATATTTACCAACTTCCCCACTAGGCAAGATGTAGCACAAGGCCAGTTTTTAACGTGGGGCATTCTGAAAAATTGCCCGCAGACCCAGTATAAACTGGGTCATGTTTGTCATCTGTGTTCCACTCTGCCCAGTGGCAGAGAGTTCAACAAAAGAGAAAGAGAAAGCCTCCTCCTCTAGGCCCAACTTTCCCTAATTTTTACATGACACATGTCAAAAACAACAATCACACCACAAATCTATACAGGCAATATTGATGACATTCTTATACTGACAAAAACTAAAAATTGAAACATCTAGCATATGGATAGAGAATGAGTTTAGTGAATGCTTTAAAATAGAAAATGGAATAAGACAAGGATGCTTTTTCTTACCAGATTCATTTAACCCTTAGAGCAAGATGATTCTAAAATGTGTAGAACACCTACCAGGATTTATTATTGGCAGACATAATCTTAACAACATGCAGATGATGAGGTGTTAATGGCAGATTCAGAAGAAAAACTGAAAAAAACAAACTACCAGACAAGATAGTCAAAGAAAGCAAGAAGAAAGGACTAAGCATTAACTGTAAAAAGACAATGCATAGTTGTCATCAAAAGAAACAGCCCAAGTTTGTAAGTTTGGGGACATTAAAATAAAGCAGGCACAGAAATTTAACTATCTGGAGAGTATAGTAACAGAAAACAGAAAATTTGACACAGAAATTCAAAGGCACAGAAGAATGATGTAAGATGCCTTTCAGAAACTGAGCAAGTATTAAGGGATCAGAAAATGTCCTTAGTCCAGATCTCTTTTCTTTGTTTCTATGTAATATCTAATCTCCTACATGCCAATGTTGAATAATTTCCTGACAGACAAAGAAGATACTTGAAACAAGAGATGTGGTTCTACTGATAAATGTAGAGAATACCATGAACAGAGCAAGTAAGAAATCTGAGAGATAGGAATGACAAAGAAATTGCTGCTAACAATCAGAAAGAGATACGTCATTTTGGGAACATAATGAGGAAAGAAGACTTGGAGAATTTAATACTTAGAGCATATTGGAGACAAAAGAAGTAGATGATGAGTTTTAGTAAATGAATGGCTGAACAAAAACAATTGCTAAAAGAGCAAGAGTTATTTAAACCAAACAAAAAACTGTAGGTCGTGGAGAGCTATGATCACTCACATTCTGAAAGGACAGGGCATATAAAAGAAATAAAATTGCTCAGAGTAACTCCTTTTTTAGCATTTTTGAGAAAATAATAAAGTTATCAATCAGGTCAATGATTTATTATCTACATTTGACCTTTGAGATTTAGCAAAGATAAATTGCAGATTATCTTTCATATACAGAAATTTCAGATTGAACTATCTTGCATAAACAAATCAATATTTGACAGAGGATAGTCCTTTCTGAAAAAAATGAACTTTTGCCACTGAGTGATAAGGCTTTTAGAATAAATTCTGCTAAGAAATTCCTAGATTATCTATTTTTCCTATATATTCTATGCAAAAAGTATCTACTAAGATTAAAAATTAATTTTTATTACAGGTTTAATTTTTTTTTTTTACATAATACAGTGTTTTCATGTCATAAAACCCCTTCATCTTCAGGGTTGAAAAAATACTAATGGCTTATGCTACTAAGATGGACCCCCCCTCCAACCTCAAACCAGAATAATAGTAGTTTATGACATTTAGCTTTTTGTAAAAATTAGCACTTGATTGTTAGTAATGAATAAAAAAAAAAAAAAACTATATTTGAATGCTCCGGCAGAGATTCAGTTGTTGTTGACCAAATTGAAATGCTGATTAAAAATAATCCAAGTCTCATGACACGGGACATTGCAGACATACTCTGTATATCTTATATGAGCATTGTAAGGCATTTGAAAAAACTTGGATACAGGAATTGCTACAATTTTTAGGTGCCTCACAATTGAACAGAAAAATATTTAATAGACCAGATTTCTATTTGAAATACTCTGCTCAAACACAACAAAAACAGTTTATTTTTGAAAAGAACAATCGCAGACTATGAAAAATAGATTGCTTACAACAATGTGGATCAAAGGTCGTGGTGAAAATGAAATGAGCCCCCATTAATAACAGGTAAAAGCTAGTTTATATCTGGAAGTGATGATGCTGTGTATCTGGTGGGATTAGAATGGCATTGTGTATTATGAATGCCTTTCACAAATTCAGACAAGTACTCTTTCCAACAGGACAATTTAAAGACAGTCAGTTATGTGCCATGCGTGATACACATTTAGGTGATCATGTATCAAAAGATACATGACTGACGAGGCAAAATTTTCCTGCAGTAGGTTGCCATTTCTTTCTGCGGTAGACCAGTTGCCATCCAAGGCTATAGAACCCGGTCTGTCCTGCTATTTATCCATAGCTGGAGGGAGAAGAAGAGGATTCATACCTTTCCCAAAGGTATTAGCACATAAGTGAACGTAATGGATTCGACTTGAATTCGAACTCGGCTCTCCAATTCCTCAATCCGAGCTGCTATCCATTATTCCACCATGCCTCCCTTTAAAGACAACAATGAATAAAAAGTATCCAGGATCAATCAGAAAAGTGCCATTTTCCATCATACAATGTCAGGCCTTTGCAGACCTAATAAAATTCAGTAGTTTGGCTGGGATGTCCTGTGTTAAATCAACCATACTCACTTGATCTTGCATCTTTGTATTACCACTTATTTTGATCCCTAGAAAATTCTTTTAATGAGAAGAACTTAAATTCTCTGAAAGCCTATAAAAACTACTTATGCCAATTCATCAGCCAGAAAGAGGCCAAGTTGTGAAAAGATAGAATCATGAAGCTGAACAAAATGGCATATATATTTTAAATTGGTATCACCCCCAAGCAAAGAAGTAAAGCCACTAAGAAACAAGGCGTTACTGGGTGTGAAAGAATTAGGAACAGAA